GGGGGGGGGGGAGTGCAACCATGCAAAGATAGCGTTTCCCTGTACGCTGAGCCCATACACGGGGGAGACCAAAGAATCGAAGTGGCAAAGCCCTTCAACTCCGCAGTGGCGGCTCCAACTCATGCTACTTGGGGTTGAAGGATCCCCCAATTACTGTAGTTTCCTTAGATCTATAATGCGAATATTATGTTCAATATTTCCTTAGGGTTATACTATGAGAAAAACAAGTAATTCCTGAGGACAGTACAGAATTAAGCCCAACAGTCGTTGCTTTAACTCATTGCGTCACTCCCATACTACAAACAAGAAGCAAAGCATCACAGATATTCCTGGAACATTTATTGCCTTATGAAACCATATTCAAGTTCTCACGTGGATCATACCTGAGTTTCTCATGACATGGGTACAGTAGACAAAATACAGAATTCTCCAAATCAGAAAAGATCCCCACATACCACATATTCTATCTACTTAGGGGGGATCTTATTCACTATATGTAGGAAACATTTCAAGAAAATCGCAGAGTATCCCGGAGCAGTGCGTTGCAGAGCTCTGCACCGTCCCCAAAATTTGCTCCGAAGGTGTCCTCCTCGGTTGCACAGAATGTCCCTGGTGAGGTCTTACGTAGGCAGGCAGCACATCTCAACCATGCTAATACAGCAGTTGACGATTTATACTCCTTTGCTTCTTTTTTAGGTATGATTGTGTGGGGAAGATTGGAATCGGGCAGCAGGGGATGCTGCATAGAAGCGCTGGAACACGCTATTCAGGGAGGTATGGTATGGTCGGATGCAAGCCCGGCAAAAAAAGATGAATATGGTGCCGGTCGCTGTCATTTTCTGGGCATGTATCAAAAGAGGGTCCCCTTATGATGCATCTTCAAGACGATGCTGCCCAGAAGCGACCCACCTGCTTGTGAACTGTTACTATTGTGCTTGTCGGCGTCCTTCATTTTTTGCTGGGAGGCGACTTCTCCAGAGGGTGGCTATGTTGCCAAAAGTGGTTGAAGGGGAAATGCCAGCAGCTTCGACGAATGGGCAACCATGGTACCCCGCTTCATATATCCGTTCAGGGAATGGAAGCACTTTGCACGGGAAAGTGGACTGTCAGGGTAGCATACCTTTCGGGATCCCCCCTAGGAGCCTTTGCTAAGGCTACTGCGCGCACCAGGCTCAGAGCGCGGCGACTTCTTCCTCCGTAAGACCAGAGAGCGGGCATCCATTGATAGCCAGGATGACCTGAACAGTGTTTTTTGGTGGTTGGACCGAGTCAGAACAATATGATCCTACTCAAACGGAGACTATAGTATCCCAGATAGAATTACATGTTTTTGGCAGAGGAAATTCCATGCAAACTTGGAGACCACGAACTGATATAGGTCTCCCTGGAGGACTCTAAATGCATTGGTCATTCCACCCCCAGAATTCTCCTAGGAAAGGGCTGATTGCGGTAGATAGTCCCTCCGATTACCCAAACTCCAAAAACTCTAAAACCCAAACCCTTTCAAATCCGCAACCCTAAGCTCCAAACTCTACGCCCTAAACCCTGAAATCTACACCCTGAGCCCTAATAACCCTAAGCCCTAAACCCTAAGCCTTGAACCCTAAACCTTAAGCCCTAAAGCCTTCGACCCCCCCTTTTAAACCCAAGGCCCCTGCCTCTCCAGCAGAGAACTCTTGCCCTGGGAAGTCCTGGCCACCCGGCTTCCACTATATGAGCTATGCTCTGAGCTCCCAAACTATATTTTGGTCCTTTGGGCTATTATTTCACCTACTTTTGGGGTTCAGGTAGTATAGGGTTTAGGGTTCAGGGACTCCTTGTAGTTTCGCTTAATAACCCCTAGTATAGGGTTTAGGGTTTAGGGTCGAAACAACTGGTATCCCCCTTAATGACCTCTGTGATACAGGGTTTAGGTTTTAGGGTCCAAACTCCTAGTATCCCTGTAAAAGACCCCTATAATACTACCCTGTATAATTCCTTTTACAACACCCTTTCAGGAGTTTAGACTATAGCTCATTCTAGGAGAACTATCAACTCATACGGTTTTTATGTGGATTCTGAAGCGATTGCTATTGGTCATAGGAATTTATAGGGTTTATTTGAGGGCTGTGTAAGGGTTATATAGGGGGCTACATAAGGGTATGCAGCAATGAAAAACCAATTGGATACTCCTACTTAGGGTTAAGGGTTTAGGGACACAGGACAATCTACTGGAAAGAAGATGGAACACAAAATGGAAGCTACTATATGGGGTTTAGTGGTTAGGATTCTCCGCCGGCCAAGTTCCTTGAACAGAGCCTGTCAAGCACTTAGCTGCCAAAACATTTTGGAGCATAGGCTTTCGGAATTGCGCCTTGTGGCTTAGGATTTGAGGTGTAGGGCTGGCGTGAGGATTTGGCTTTGGATTTAAGAGGTAGGGTCTCTGCGTGTAGGGTATGTTGTAAGGCCCCTGGTTTTCAAGTGTTTACAGCATCGAGACTACAAGGACCAATTTCGGCCTCTGGTGGTCCATGGAGAGGTACTACACTACAAAGCGGATGGATTGTGGCCTTGCAGCTGATCTCAAAACATGAGAACCCTCTCCTTGGAGTCTTGCTGGATCCATTCAGGCAATAGAGTGGCACACCCTCAGGCTCTGTCTTACTTACTGGTTCTGAGCAGGGAATATGGGAATATACTATATAGGGATTATATGAGCCATCGTCTAAACTCCTAGTATCCCCCTTAATAACCCCTATAGTAGTCCCCTATATAATCCCCTATATAACCCCCCTTTAAGGAGTTTAGACTATGGCTCATATAGGGATAAGACTCCTAACCTTTCAACTGTCCTTTAGCAAGCTCCCGAGGCCATCTCATTGTCAATTTCCCTTCAGGTAATTTGCAAAGATGCTGGCTGGCTCAACTTTGGGCCACCAAAATCCCCAAGCCCTAAACGCCCAAGCCCTAAACCTTGAACCCTAATCAAATCCTAAAGCCTAGGCCTAAACCCCCCTTGCCCTAAACCTGCTTCCTCAACCTTTACAAGGGCTTAACTAGGCTGCAATCCCTGCACCCAAAACCCTAAGCCCTACATCTTAAACCCTAAGCCCTGACCCTACCTAAACCCCTAAAGTATGTAGAATAATGTCCTTTTGGGCTATATTTTGGTCCTTTGGGCTATTATTTTACCTACTTTTGGGGTTCAGGTAGACCCTGAACCATCCTCCACGTGGTCTATGTGGAAGCCCCGATCGCTGGGCGTCAGGTCAATGCCTGCGCCAGACCTGAGCGTGACACGCTTTAAGGGTTTAGGGTTTAGGGTCAAAGGTTAGGGGTTTAGGGGTTTAGGGTCATAGGCTTATAGAGCTTAAGGTTTGGGAATTTAGGGTTTATAGCTTGAGACTCAGAGTCCGAGGTCTATAGTTCTTAGGGTTGATATATTCCGACCAAGCAGTGACGAATCTCTCCCCAAACACGCCCGCAGCCCGGAGAGTCCAACTCCCCCAACAGTCTCCCAGGGGGTATTTTTGAATGGGGTGGGGTTTTGTTTAATGTCTGTGGGAATGGATGCCTATAGTCCTATAGATGTCATCATGTGTGGTCCAAGTGCTTATAGCATTTGTGGCACTTCGACTGGTGCATGGTCGTGCTTGTGCTAATTGTTTTCGAAATCGTTGCTCTTCTGCTTCTTCTTGTAATTAACCGGAAGAAGAGTTGCAGTTGTCCTTTTGATCATTATCTCTTGTAAGCTTGCCCGTGCATTGTAACCTTGCAATGGAGATTTGAGAGATCTTCGTGAGGGGGTTCCGCCTCATAGCTAAGACTGCAGGCTGATTCGATCTAAGGTTAGTCTCTCCTCTGCATATGTTTTCCTGCAGACATTTTTGACGACTGGCCTGATCCCAGTGATCCAAGGCCTAGGCTCAGCCACACGCAATCGCACCTGACGCCTCCAGCACATCTGGCTTGGGGGTTAGGGTTGAGGGTTCATAGAGTGGGGTCTGGGATTTGGGTCCAGGGCGAAGGGTCTAGGAGGACGCATGTCAAGTACAGCTTGGTCTAGAGGGATGACAGAAACTAAGCACATCAACTTGCTCACACTTCGATGGGAATGGGCGAAGGTCATTGCGAGGGATATTTTAGACCAGTACAGAGATCCACTTCGATGTTCTGCTCTTGGGTGCCCAACACGCACTACTCCGCCCCCTCGCTCGCGCTAGTTCTAGCCAAGCATACACGTAGGCTTTGATCATAACCTGCCATATCGATGAACAAGAAACGAATCCAGCGTGGTATTGACCAACAGCATCACAGGTAGTGCTAGTATGACTATGGTCATGACACCAACGGCCAGGACATGTCACCACAAGAGTAAGAACAAGCCAAGGCACATGAGTATAGAGGTCGACTGCTACCAGGTGGTGCTTCCCAAGATCGGGGTCCCAACGGGATGACCAACGAATCTGGATTAGGGTTTAGGGTTTACTTTTGGTACCCTTTAGCTGCGCTTAGACGCCAACTCCTCTTCTGAAAGCAACTCCTTACAAGCGGTTCCTTTCTGTACCTGGAATCTCATTGCTATAATATACTATATTATACTACAACATGCCATATCAGATTATACGATATCATACTACATTATAGTATGTTAGAATGTACTACGAGATACGATACTGTATTCTACTGTATTGTAAACTCTAATATACTATATCACATTATACCACATCATACTATACTATTATGCCAAATTTCCTGAGGCCAAAACTCCATGGCTCTGGTTGGAGTGGGCCTTGCTGGAGTAGAGGGGGTTGGACACTTCTACTAGCGGGGCTCCCCCGCCCCAAATGGGGGGGGGTTGTTCGGGGCTGAAGGTTTAGGGTTTTAGGTTTTGGACCAAAGATTGGGGTACCATATTAGGGGATTATAGGGGATATATAAAATTATATAAGGGTTTCAAGACAGGGACTCCCTCAAATATACCTAGGGTAAGGGCCAAAATTTAGGCTCCCATTTCGCCCTACATCTTAGGTGGCGTAATACAACCTATAACCAAAAGTGCCCATAAATGTGAGAACAGCCCACCTAGGGTTAGGGCCTGTCCATTGAGGATTAAGTATTTGGGCTAGGGGGAGAAGGCCCCTAGATCAAGTATCTGAGCACAGATGAGTAGCGTTTTTTGGTGGTTGAACCTAGTAAGATAATATTCTTTATATAAAATACTATACCCAAAAGGAGGATATAATCTTGCTCTATACTGGGTACCATAGTATCCCCAAATAAAATACTACTCAGATAGATATCTGAGCGTCGATAGCCTCACTTTGCATGGACAGGGTTCCGCGCGCAGGAAAATGGTAGTCGAGAAGGCTCTGCAGCCTTGCGCGGGCAGAAAGTGATCTTCTCGAAGTCTCTCAGGCGTGGATTGATAAACGCCCCTAAACCCCCTATACCCCTAAGCTATATATAGTAATAATAGTAATAATAATAACAACAATAATAGTAATAGTAGTAATAATAGTAATAATAGTAATAATAATAATAATAACAAGAACAATAATAATAAGAATAATAGCAAGGGATCTTAAATCGGACTCGCTTTGCTGCAAGGCTCTGACACATGAGGACGTCTAAGCGCTATCAGCTGTATGAAGGGGACGCTCCATGCGATTCGACAGGAGATGATGTTGAAATGGGGGGGGCCATGGCTAAATTTGGTTGCTCTGACTTGCCTCTGCTTGGGGGTTGCTCAAAACTATGCGTGCATTTCGAGGAGTCTTCCTGCAAGAAGAACTGCAGTATTTGACGCTATATGATAAAGCCTCTGGGCTTAATCTCTGGGCTTGCTGCTCTTGCCGAGCTTTTTGCCTGGTGTCCTGGTGGACGAAGCCTGGGTCATGGAAATTGTTGGCATTACAGGTCTGGGTTCAATGTTGTGGGATGATTTAGAGTTTTGAAGGGTTCGGGGACTCGGGCTGGGGTTAAGGGCGTGGGGAGCACTCAAACGACTCTTTGGCGCACTTTGTGACAGACACTAAATAATTGCTCTTACAACTTAAGAATAATGCACTCGCACAGACCCTACTCACCGCTTCCACAGAAACCCTTGGACCCTCTATGCTTGATCATTTGGCAACCTGAGTTCTTTTGCTTGGATCTTTTGCTCCTCAATACCATCCAGAACCCTAAACCCTAAACTCTAAACCATGCTCCTTAAACCCTAAACCCTAGATCCTAAACCCTAATCCTTAAACCCTAAATCCCAAAGCCTGAACCCTAAATCCTGAACCCTAAACTCCTCAGCAGCCAGCCTATAGGCTTCATCTGGACTTTGTCCAGGCCCACAAGTTCGGCCTGCACGCGGAAGTTCCGCGCGAAGGTCCTGCCAAACATGTGAAGAGATCTTAGAATTAGAAGAGGTACCTCTAAAGGGGGTTATAAGGGATAACATATAGGGTTATATGAGGGTATATAGGGTTTAGGGTGTAATTAGGGGTACCTGGTTGGGGGGCCCGCAGCCCCCATACTAGGACTACGTATAGTATTGGGGAGTCTATATTGGGGATCCCCCTATGTATGTGAAACTACCATGCAGCTTCTAACAGTGGGGGAGCCCTGAAAATGAGACCGGGATTATAGGTGCACTTCAAGGCTTGAAAAGGGACATTTTGGGAAAGTTTCATGTCAGTGGGAAGTCCGCGAGCAATAGTACTGAGCATAACTGCAGCAATACTGCAGCACGTACGGCCATGATAACAAGGCTTGCAGTCACAACCGGATGGTCCTAAACAAGATCATGATACGTATTAGTAGCAACTAGAGCCAAACTGGTGGTTAACCGGGAGTGGAGTAGGGAATATAATTCACTACACATGTAGGAATTACATAGGAAGCATTCTAGGGATCCACGCCCCCACTTCCCCTTAAGAATCTGCAAGGAGCTGCGCTTGCATGGTGATATACCCTATATGACCCATTATGGCACTTTCCATATTCTTCTCCAGTATTCCCATACCACCCCCAACATATCCCTATATAATACCTATAACTCTGCAGTTTCCATTTTCTTTCCATTATTCCCATATAACCCCAATATACCAGTAATGTAGTTTCCATTTTCTTTTCCATTACCCCAATATATACCCCGTTATACTATAGTAGTTTGCATTTGATTTTCCATTATTCCTATATAACCCCCCAAACATAACCGTAAACCCTAAACCCTAAACCCTAAAACCTAAACCCTCAACCCTAAACCCTAAACCCTAAACCCTGAACCCTAAACCCTACTATTAGCATGGTGATTGTGACATCCGAGGCTCCTGAGGTCATCCCTGAAGGTCTGTGCCCTCGCCTCAGTCTGAACAAGTTTGGTATTGTATTTTATATATTCGAGTTATTTAGGGGCTATTTAGGGGCTATATAGATTTATATTATATGGTTTAGGGTTTAGGGTTTAATTATAAGGGTTATAGGGGATCTATTAGAGTTATATAGGGGCTATTTAGGGGCTATATAGGGGTTATATAAGGGGGTTTAGGGTTTAGGGTTACCTTTACAAACTCAAAGCCTCTAGCCTCTGAGTATATATGCAGGAATTATGCATGACGAGATTGTAGGGATTCACCTCAGCAAGTGACTGCACAGGATAAGTGTTCAGCAGCAGCTCATCCAGCGCAATGTCCCCTTTCGGCAATGTTTCATCGAACGGACTCACAATCCAAAGCAAGGATGCCAAGCCTCCGAAAGTATACGGCGGGTGGACCCCCACCCGGTAGTAGTGACTATGAGGGATAGGGGTGATTGTATAAGGGTCCTCTTATATTCCCATGATACCACTCTGACAGGGACCGGGGGGGGTGCACCTAAATAAGCCCAAACCCTAAATAACCCTAAACCCTAAACCCAGAAGGCAATGAAATTCGAGAAGCCCCTAACTAAGTAGGTTGAAGCTGGGGATACTTTTGGTTCTGGTATGGTTTAGGGGGGGCTTTAAGTTCACCCCCAAACCCTCAACCCTCAGCACTCTCAACCCTACATACAAATCCCCCTGACCCTGCAACTGGATCCCCGAGGTCGCCGCCGGATCCTTTTGAAGTGCAGCCGCAGCCCCCCTTGGAAGCACAAGCACCTGGGGCCCGCAAGCCAGCTCATCACACAATTTACAAATGCGCGCTGTATGCGATGTACTACTTAGCTTCTCTAATATAGCATCGCGGAAATTATATGTAACATGTAGCGAGTATATAGCATATACTATATCATGATACGGTTACACAATGTCTTACTCTACTTACCTCTTGCAAGCTCTGTTCGCCCTGTGCGCAGCACATCATCATTTGCAGCGCCGGCACCTTGTGTTGAGGCTGATCAGAGGCGAAAGGCAGCTTCCCCAAAATAGGAGCCCCTTGTACCCAGACTAACACTGGGATGCATAACTAGGGGAAATCCCAGGAAGGGCCACCCTCACATATGGGTTGTTCTCAGAACTATGGGTCCCTTTTGGTTCTAGGTTATATTACGGCACCTAATATTTAGGGGTACCAAAATGGAAGCTTAATTTGGGGAACTACCCATATGGTTGCACTATCTAGCTAGCACCAAGCCAAAGCCCTCTTTGAATTTTGGAAAAGTTTCTCAATGACATGGGTCCCTTCTGACCTCTGAACGGCATGTTACAACTTCCGGCCCTAAATCCTAAACCCTAAACCCCTAAACCCTCTACCCTAAATGCCAGTTGAACATCCTTCCACCCTTTGCAGAGGGCATGGCCGGCACCCGGAGCACTTTTACCACTTCCTTTTGAACCTGTGAGGCCAGAACAGGAGGGGAACATGGGTTCAGATGCTTCTTAGATTTGTGCACAGGGGCTCAGAAAGTATTTTCTGTGCCCAAATGCTGTAACAAAAAGTTTCCAAAGTGACCCAGATCCCCAACTTTTCACGTCATAGGCCCAGCCTTTGCCGGGATAGGCTCCCACGGTCGAGGTTCTGCTTGGCAGACTGCCCCCTTGTCACGCAGGCATTGAACCCCACAAAGGGTACAGAGCTAAAGGGTACAGTGCGATGACAACAAAAAGGGGAGCGTTTACGACCTGAAGGGCTGACATGCGGCTGGTATTCTGTTTTGGGGTTACATACGCAGTATTTCGGATGTGTGCCATCTCCCAAATGAATCCCCTGAACGCTAAACCCGAGGGCATGTGTGGGCTTTCTGGACTCATGTAGGGCCTCCTAGAAGTTTCCATTTTATGTTCCATTTGCTTCTCCGCCACTGGAGTAATATCCCTAAACCCTAAATCCTCAAATAGTCGCTTCCATTTTCTTCTCCATTATCCCTATATAACCCTGAATAAGTTCTATGTAACCCCATATAATATAATCCCAACGTAACCCTATATAACCCTCAAAACAGTCCCCGGCCTGAGGTACAGTTCTGCTGGGAATCCAGCCTGCACATCAGCATTGAACACAATCACCTCCCCAACCCCCACTCCCCTAACATTAAGTATTCCCAATGCATTGTGGAATATTACAATATACCCCAACGGGAACAGTTAGGCTTCAAGACTAGGGGGGTGCGGATTCATCCCTTTGCAGTCATGCGTTTTTTTGACAAAGCTGAGGTCGCCGCAAAGGGCCTGCTGGCCAAGCGCGCCGCTCCTGCTGCATTCTGGCACGGATGCAGTCTAGTCCATAGGTTTCTCCTGAAACGCACCATCCGTCATTGGGGGAAGATCCTTATACCCTACTTCCCCCTTTAAAAACCTTATAAACGCCCCATGTAATCCCTATACGAGTACCACTCAATGTGTCACGAAGCTGTACACGGCCCTGAGCTCCTCAGTAGCGTGCGGTGTAACCTGCAGTGGCAGATCTGAGGGCTTCAACAAACAGGTGAAGCTCCGTACAGACCCCTATATACTACAATCCTTGTTATAAGTTATGGGAACTCTCAAAAAAATCGCAGTTTTTTGGAGACCCTGTCTGAGTACACTTGCAGCTCGGTGAACCAAATCCCCTGCCCTTACTACTGCAAAACCCCATCCCTTGAGATAGAACACTTGCAATATGCTGTAGTTTTCCATCATATGAACATCGAACGTTATGTGGGTGGGTTTTGGGGTTCAGCATGAAGAGGAGGGGATTAAAGCCCCCCTTAAATAGATAGAATATGGCTTCGGATAAACTACTATAAGATCCCCATATCCCCCATATTCTATCTACTTAAGGAGAAATATAACCCCAATATATACCCTATTACGATACAGTAGTTTCCATTTTCTTTTCCATTATCATTATATAGCCCCTATATAGCCCAATATTCTATCTACTTAAGGGGGACCCTAAAAACCCTTAACCCTAAACCCTAAATGGTAGTTTCCATTTTCTTTTCCATTATCCCCATATAACTCCCATATTCTACTTAAGGGGGGCTATACACCTGCAAGACGAAGCCAAGCCGCATCCGTGGAAGCTCGTGAGAGAGCGCTTGGCGCACTTGACCCAGTCCTGAGTGACGTTGCGCCGGAAGCTGATAACAAAGTTGCGGGTCGTCGTCTGATAATAACAGTGATGGCACTAGACTAGTAATCATAGTAATCGAAAGTCTGGGTTGATGTTAAGGAACTTAACTTAAGTTATCATATTCTGGGTATGTAGTAAACAGTGGGGTTTCCTGCCTGTTGAATTTACAAAAGTTCCTGAACAGCAACCCAGCAATAGCCCATAATGGCAACGTCATGGTAGTAACAAAAGTAATAATTACAGGATACCACAGGGGCCTAAATTACCAATATCATGTTGAGGTCCTTTTGAGGTACCATAGGCCAAAATTATACAAGGGATTGAATATGGAACCATAATATGAGTAATTATTTAGTCCATAATATACTATAAGATACCATACTATACTATACTATAATATACTATTATATACTATAACTTAAAAACATACTATACTATTGGTAATTCTTTAGGCCTCTATACTACTCGCAGGAATCCCATGCGCAATGTCCTCGCCGGAAGGGCCACTGGCTCACCTCTGGCACGTGCAGCTGCAGTCCGAACCGCTTCATCGCACCTGGCAACATCTCTGCTAAAATACAGGGAATGGGAACTATTATATCTGGGAAGGCACTGGGATGTGTGTGGATGGGGATATATATGGAGATGAACTGGGGCATATGAAGGTATGAATGTGTTTGGAATTTAGGGCTTCAAAGATCTCGAAAAACAGACGCTGAGCATTTGTCCAAACTTGCCGGTCGAACTCAGGTCGCAAGGGCTTCTCGCGCAGAGCCTTCCAGAACACAAGTCAGGAGGTTCTCAACATATTGCATCACCTTACGAGCAGCCCACAGTCCCTGACAATCCTGTTGTTTGCCGGGGATGTCTAGGAACCCCCTGTTTTTGGTGGGGGACCCTTTTTACCACACATCCGAATGACTGTGGAACCATTCCGGTCCTCAGCATCTTGCCGAAGGCCCGGGAGAAGCCCCTCGGCTTCGGGGCTGAAGTTGAGAGCGCTTCGGATCTCCGCGCGCAACAAGGCCTGCCCATAGGGTTGCTTCTCAACATCAGGCTAACCCCTACATTACCTATGTACCCCAAGAGCAATAGAGTCCGTTCTGATGTTAATTTTGACCCCTATACTAATACACCCAACAACAATAAACTCCGTTTTTTGCGTAATTTTGAGAAAGCCCCCTATGACATCCCCAGAAAGTGAGTCGCACCGCTTGGAGGCTCCGTCACTGAGGCCCCGGACACTCGTCCCAGATGGTCCTGCCAGCCTCAAGTGCAGGTCAGACACTGACTTAGTAATGGCAGAAGTAACGTAGGAATGGTCTATAGTAGTAATCATAATAGTAACAAGAACAATAATCATGCTAGTAATAGTAATAATCGTAATGATAATAGATAATAAGCCCTTGCACGCCCCCTTTTGTTAGTGCTCTAGGTAGTCTCACTATTCCTAGCACCTTGCTGGCTGCTCTAATGCTACTCTGAACAGTGCTAGCTGGAATTACTAAGGAATGTAAGTTCTAAACTGTTAGTCCCTGAACCCTAAAACCTTGTCATGCTGCTATAGTATTTCTAGACCTGAACGGAGCGGTCTCTTTTGTGCTGGCCATGTAGAGATTCGTTGAGGGAGGGCCCCGACATTGAGGGTCCACCGTCTACGTGTCTTTCCAACAAGTATCCGGAGCAATCGGGTTTATGATAAAGAGTCAGATGTGTATGTAATCTGCAGATCGCATCGCTATATCTGTGTGGATGTACGCAGCTGGGGGTGGTCGAGCCTTGCTATATAACTGGAAAGCCCACAGTGTACTCAGTACCTTGCTTTTAGGTTTCAGACCTGGGTGGCACATCAGCATGCCCCTTCTCTCCTAAAGCGGATGTAGGAGGCACCACTATAAAGGACCCTTGTAGCTTGCAAAAGTGTGGGAAAAAGATGTGGGGATAGATAAGGAATTCATAAGGGCTTCATCCAGCAACGGGATGAGGGATTCCTATTATACACGAGCCATAGCTAAACTCCCAGTATCGCCCTCAATAACCCCTATAATACTCCCCTATATAACTTCCTTTAAGGAGTTTAGACTCTAGCTCATGTAGAACACCTCGGTGAACTTCCTGAGGCTCCTGCAGCTTTGCTAATGCAACCGTCGTCTCCCGGACAGCCTCTCCCACCAACATGGGGATTTCCGCAAATTAGGGGTACCTTTTTTATAGTGGAGCTACGATACGGATTAGAGTATTTGGGAATTATGATAAGGGTTATAATATTTGGGGTCTATACTAGGGTCCCCCTAGGGTCCCCCTCTTTCTGGAAACTGCCACCTGGTCACCAAGTCTTCTAACCGCCAGGCGTGGCGTTCGTGGTACATTATCAGAGCACTACATCAATTAAAGGGACCATATCTAAAGAAACTTTTTTGGACAGGATTATGCTCCAAAGACTACTTTCAATTAGGTGGAATTTCGTATGGGAAGTGGGACCAGATTTAAAGATTTTTTTGGGGGGGGACCCATCCTAATAGTAGATTACATTCCTATCCAGTTTGTGCTAGAGCTCCAAGAGCCCCAAGGATTTTTTATAGAGATTCAATACATGCCTATTCACTTTGTACTAGAGCTCCAAGAGCCCCATCCATTTCTTATTCTGGCGGGGGGGGTGGGGGGGCCAAATTGATGAAGTGCTAGGATTAGATGTGAATCGCACAAAGGAGTAATGCTGAAGATGATATGGTAGTCAGGGGGACCCCAATATAGACCCCAAAATATTATAGTCCTCAGTATGAGGACCCCCAACAGTTTACTCCAAAGTTTCTATAATATGGACTGCTAGCGCTACAAGAGTCAGCTGTGAACGTCCCAGCCTCTGCGTATTCGGCGTTCCGGAAGGTAACCAGCACAGAATTGGCCGCCTTGACAACCTGTCAACAACTACTTCCCCCCTGCTTCCCTTTCAATCCTCCAGTGCCGAATCAATAGCAGCTTGCCAAGATGGGGGGTACATTGCCAAGATGGGGGGTACACCCCAACATTGGATAAAACAAGGTCCCACCACAACGTTGCGGCTCTTATGCAAGAGAAATTTTACGGAAAAAACATCTCCGCATCAGAAAGTGCCTTGAGCTTGAAGTCGCTTCCCTCGTGCATGCAGTACCTGCACTTTATGAATTCCGGTCAGCAAGGACCCTCTTCGTTTGGCAATCTACCGGATACATCTCTATCAAGGCGTTCTAGGAAGGCTAAAGTGCCAGGCAAAGGCGGGGCCGATTCATTGCGGATGGGTACTCAGCAGCTGAGTGGACCATGTTTGGAGATTTTTCAAGATTCGGGTAACCTAGGTAACTATACCCGACATAACAACCATGTTCTTCAATCAATGTTAGGACCGCACAGGAGGATGCATTCTCAAGAAAACCCCCATCTCTCTCTCTCTTTCCTCAAAACTCGTCGTGGATGAATTCCACTACAGAGCGACCGGGTCTGGCCTTCGCATAGGGTGGCCGGCTCTGTGGCTGATTCCAGACCCAGCTATTTGCGGCCCACTTTGTCCCTTGACCCACAGGGCAGCCACAATGCCAGCTGTATGTGTCGATATCCCCACTGGAGTGTAAGGAATAGAACAGGATTGCCACGGTACCGTTCCGACCCGACATCTTCACGCCACGGTCATCGCAGGCAGTCCACTCGCCGTAGGGTATGGGTCCACCGCGCGCTCTGGGGAACCATGTTTCCCCTCCTTTCACAGCATCCTGCAAATACCAGAGCAGTGTGGCGTGGCGCATATTCCAGGTCTCTGAGGCTGGATGAACAAAGCGCCCCGCATCTGGGAACTCCCGAGGATCCCAGTAATCTCGGTGCGCATCGTAGAGCTGACCTTTGGTGTAGCGTAGTACCTGCAAGTTGCTCTCAAAATAAGAGGCTGGTAGCCGCAGGACTTGAACAGTAAAGTTCTTGAGCTGCTTGAGTTTGGGATCTGAATTGTAACTGAGCCAATGCTGCTGGCTGGTTCGAACCTCTGAGGCTTCCTCCTCCGTCAGCGAGCGCTGGAGCCGATTCTCCGACACACGGACAACATCTGACAGAAGTTCTGGGACCCAGCCCTCAGAAGGATCGCCTTGGAAGACCAACTCAAACAAAGCGGGCTTGAGCGCTACAGTTCTTAGGACCACCTGTGGAAGCAAAGCTCGTTCGAAGCCTATACGGACACCTGGCCAGCGCCAAGCCCCTCCCTCAAACAACAGCAGGACGCCACGGTACGCGGAGATCTTCGCATCAACCTCCTCGGGCTGCCAGCGCTCCCCGGACTCGGTGAAGATCGCCCAGCTCTGCTTCTTCCACTGGAGCGGCTTGGACGGTGACTGGTGCGGCGTAAAGGCTAAGTGTGTCTTGATCTGCAGCAGCTCCTCCAAAGCCTCAGGCAAGCCTTCGGCCAAGGGAACTGTCTTTGGGTTTGCCGTGGCCAAGCCATCAACATAGACGGCGCAACCGTCATCTGAGACACAGATGACATGATAGCCCTTGTCCACCCGCTCTTCCTGCAGCCACGGGGAAAGATCACAAGCACCTCCACCAGCAACACCGCAGGCGAGGACTAGAGCCTGTAGTAGCCATGGTGGCAAGTTTAACAACATAGCCTAGCAGGGCTCTTTTGAACATGAAGCTTCCTGGAAAGGATATCCCAACATGTGGGTCCCCTCTATACAATGTAAGTACTTGATGGAATATTTACTAAGACAGGAACCCTCAGACTAGAGACCATCATTGTGGCAAAAACCTAGTCAGTGACATGCGCATGTCACAGATCCGAAGCCTGAGCCAAACAGGCAACTAGTGAAGCTGCGATTGCAACTCTCCACCAGTAGCTGCGGTCATCCTGCATGTTTGCTCAACTTATGCAATGCTGCTCTCCCAATGGCAGGTACGGCAGCATGATATGACAAGATACCGCTCACAGGTTCTGAGCATGAAGCATAGGAGTTTACTAATAGATTTGTTTTCTGGAAATACCACTTTTCATATGCGTTTCGATAGCCCTAGTCCAAACCCCAATAACCCAAACCCAAACATGAAGAATCACCCTCATTCAAAGAAAAGAACAGAACCCCCGCTAAACCTGAACCCAAACGCGGCACTGGTCTGTAAGGAAGGAAGCGACCGACACCGAAGCCTGGAAGAAAGCCTCAGTGACACAGAAGCCAATCAAAAGCATAGATGGCCACCAGACTCATCATGGCCAAGATAGTCAGAACTGGGCCTGATCACCATGGATCAATGAAGACCGCTGCTGCAAGGAGCACAAAACATAATCCGCGGATCCCTTTTCTACCCACCTGCAGCCATGTCGTACCGTAGGGGCCTATAAATACGTACCAACATCATTTGGAGGTCAATTCAGAGCACTCTATACCATCTTTACACAAGGAGTATAGGACCAGAATATTTCTAGGACCGTAATGTTCATAGGACCAGAATGTTCATAGGAGCAGCATATTCATAAAACCACAATATTGTGACCCCTACAGTACTGTAACGGCAGCCACTTAGGAAAGGACTCTTCGATCCAGGTCCGGAAAGCCAAACCTCAAGATCCACGTTGCTTACTGATTCTTAGAGGGAAGAAGGGAATACATTCTTTAGGGATTATATATGGATGTACAGGGGTTATATAAGGTTTATAAAGGGATTAAATTCCCCTATTCCCTACTAAGAACCAGTAAGTTTGAAGCTCATTGGATGCTCACAGGTGGGTTAGAAGCACACAGATTTGGGGTTTAGGGTGTAGGGTTTAGGGGGAACGATCTTCTCCACGCAATCCCGAGCTTGCAACAGTCAGGGTCCCTTGGGGGAAAAGAATGTTTGGGGGTGGCACAATGGAGACCCTCAAAATTGAAAAAGCAGCATTCTATCACTTGAGCTATAGTCGCAACTCCTAGTATCCCCCTAAATAGGTCCTATAGTAGTACCCTAGATACTCCCCCGTATAAACCCCTGACAGAAATTTAGACTATAGCTCGCTTCGGCTTTTTGATCTGGAGGCTCATTCAATACTACTTCGGTTCATGCCATTATAAGTATTATATATGTATGCATGGGTTTAGGGTTTAGGCTCCCAATTCGTTTTTAATCTTAACCCGCCCCCCCTTCGAGGAATTCACCTGAATTGAATCAGGGAATCTAATCTAGCGGTCCATACTTTGGGGTAGGAACACAGATGTTTAATTTCGTAGCCAGAAATAGGTCAGTTGTGTTCGACTCAACTGTTAATTCCACGACTTTCTGAGGAACAAACGCGCATGGCATTTCTTTCAGGTTGTTCCCTTGAAATCGAGCTGAATCCCTGATCAAAGCAGCACTCAGATGAGCTGTAGTCTAAACTCCTAGTATCCCCCTTAATAAGCCCAATTATACTCCCCTATATAATCCTCCATATAATCCCCTTTAAGGAGTTTAGACTATAGCTCAGATGAAGCAACATGAACGCCAGCATCCCACACACTCCTACGCCCATCCAAATGTTCCACCCTGAAACCATGTCATCCGACTGGGGCGGAGCAAGCATCTTGAAAAATGGCTGAGACCTCGCGGTGTTCCATTTGCCATTACCTGCTGCAGATCCCCTAACCTTACCACAATGACTAGACTTAGTCGTTTCCAGTTGCTTTTCCATTATCCCGATATAACCCCTATATAATCCTAATATAACCCCCATACAACCCTAATATCACCCCTATATAACCCATTATAATAGTTTCTAAAACCTCTCGGCCCCCCGGCTCGAGCAACGCGCCATCTCGTTCGGCTCTCGTCCTCCGTTCCTCAGACCTTGCTATTAGGGTTTAGGGCTTAGGGTTTAGGGTTTAGGATTTAAGGTCTAGGGTTTAGGGTTTTGGGTTCAGGGTCTGGGGTTTAGGGTTTAGGGTAATGGAAAAGAAAAAGGAAACTACTATAATGGGTTATGTAAGGTTTAGGGTGTAGGCTTTAGGGGGATAATGGAAAAGGAATTGGAAACTAGTATAGTGGGTTATATAGGGTTTAGGGTTTAGGGGGAAAATGGAAGAGAAAATGGAAAGTACAATCTAGCATATAGGGGCTATATCGGGAATAATGGAAAACAGACTGAAAACCATTATCTAGTATATGCGGGGTCATTTTGGGTACTGAGCAGGTAGTGAGACAAGTGATGGAAGGCAGACTTAGGATGGCGGCGAGGATTGCAATGTTGGCCAACATACAAGGTTTTTTTAAATACAAGGTTTAGGTTTTAGGGTTTAGGGTTAGATGCAGCCCCTTTCAGTAGATAGAATATGGGGTGTATATGGGGATCTTATCTATTATCATATAATACCCAAAGCCATATTCTATCTACTGAAGGGGGCCTATGGTTTCATAGAGGCACAAGCTCACTTCCCAACAAACACGGGACTCCCAAATGGCACCTGCGAAGACCACGGCGCCCTTAAAAGGAGCTTATATGGCGTTTCAAGTTTTCTTGCGGCCCGGGAACCCGAAACCCAAAACACGGTGGACAGATTCCGTTTTCTTTTCCAGTTTGCAGACATAACCCCAAAGTACTATACAGTAGTTTCCATCATATTCTCCATTATCCCTACATAACCCCGATATACCATATAGTGGTTTCCATTTTATTTTCCATTATCCCTATATAACCCATATATAACTCCTATATAGCAGTATCCTTATAATCCCCCAGTTTCCATTTCATTGTCCATGTTCTTTCCCTATTATGATACAGATGAGGCCCAGGCTCTGCCAAGAAGCCCTCTGCGATCGAAGCGTCGGAGGGAGCCAGCACGGCCTCAACAAGAAGTCCAGGGGGGGAACTATATATTCTATAGTATATTCCATTATCTTTCCGCTGTTCCTATAACCCCTATATACTATTATAGTAGTTTCCATTTTCTTTTCCATTATTCCCGATATAAGGGCTTAGGGGTCAAAGGGACTGGCACTTCATTGAAGTTCTTCTACAGGATGCCCGTACGGAATGCATGCGCCAGTGCTGCATAGACTTTGGCAAAGTGCAGCTTGGACTCCCGGAAACCCGATGTTGGTGTTTAGTTGTTGGACTTCACAGGAAACCCTAAACCCTAAACCCTAAACCGTGTCAGAAAAGACTGAAACATCCAAGCACGGGCCCAGTCCTCAATGAGAAGCGCCCGTACTGCATCTTCATCTGAGGCCTCCAAGTCAACACATAAGGGCTTCTCTGAAAACGGGGCAAGGTAACCCTGAAGTAACAACATTTTTCAGGCGATGTATACTTACAAATGAGGGAGCAATTGCTATTCAACTTCGGTGATTGGAGTTACCGCTAGGGTTTAGGAGCTGGCGGAGGTCCTTTTTTTAAGGGTATGTTAGGGTTTGGGGTTGTGTGTGGGGGTTCAAGGTCAGCGGTTCTGTTTGTTTAGATGGACCCTTTTCCACCAGCATCCTCATGAAATTGATTTTCGAGCAGAGTCGGTTGGCCAACCTCATGTGTTCTTCCACCGTCCCCAATGTACAGCAGGCCGATTGCCTTTGCAGAAGCCCCCTGACCTTGCTGAATCGATGACGTGGTTCTGGGCTCAGGGTGTAGGAGTTTGCGCTTAGGTTAGGTATCCCGAAATGCCAAACCGTGTCTTCTGGCCCGCAAGATGTTGGATTGAGGGCTCAGGTTTTTCAACTACTCCCCGTACTACTATTTCTGTTCTCACTGCCAGCAAGTCTCGCTTGTGCGATTCCTGGTTATTTTGAGTTCGCTTTAGGGATACTCTAAGGCACCAAATAAAGCAGAGTAGATATTTATGACTGGGGCCCAATGTAGGAATCATGTATGGAGTGGACTGCCAGGAAAGAAGTACCCAATTCTGATGTGTTCAACGTTGCCTCACCGTCAAGTCGGACACCTTACAGACAGCTCTGCGGCATGTGCAGCCACAGACAAGCCAATAACGCGAACCCCGAATTTGGAGGAAGCCGCAAACTGTTGATAGAGGAAATCTTGCACCACCTCAAGTTAGGAATTACAGTACACTGGGGTCCTACGTGATGCAAGATTTCCTCCATCCACCGAATTACCAAAGCCTGAATCTCTGTATTCAGACTTTTGGCGTCCTATGGTTTAAATTCATTTGGGCTTAGGCTGGAAGGTGGGTGTCCATGGCGTTTAGGGTTCAGGATTTTTCCTGCTTCAACTTAACTCATAGGCCTCTTGAAAGGGATCAACCTCGCTGGGGTCTTATCTACGAAGCCCCAAGCCCTAAATCCTAAAATCCTAAGCCCCAAACCCAACATCCTAAAACACCAACCCTAAATCCCAAACCCCAAACCCTGAATCCCAAACCCCAAACCCCAAACCCTAAATCCCAAACCCCAAACCCTAAACCCTAAACCCCAAACCCTTACCCCCAAACCCTGAACCCTAAACCCCAAACCTTCAAGCCCAACCCCAAACCTTAAGCCCCAAACCCTGAATCCCGGCCTCCATGGCCGCCTGGAGCTCTGCTGGAGCTTGCGTAGCTCGCAACCTCCATAG